ATTAGAAAATTGCAACCAGAAAACTATTTGATTTGTATTCATGATATTTATAATGACGAGGAATTTGATTTAAATCATATCAAAGACGGAGTACATCGAAATTAAACACTACATTTAGTAAGGAATTATAAGCCGAATAAAATAAAAACATCTGCTCTGAAGATAATGATAGTGTTGACAAATCAACTTCCAGTTCATTGCGCACCGCAACGCCCCCCCCCTCCGCGCAGAGCAGCGTGAAATTGATAAACAGATTTCGGAACAGTTAGATAAACAAAGAATATGCCTTTATCCATTTTTTGTAGCAATTCGTTTTTTGTTTGATGGACATCGAAACATACTTTCGTTTTCTAGATCCTTTGGGAGCTCCAGCATCGGAAATTCTATTTGACATAATCGAAAGTTCAAGCTTACTTTTAGAAAATTGCTCTTACAGTCTGCAAAAAATAATAAGCCGGATCCAATTCGAAGATTAAGGAACAACGCAAATCATCAACATTAACTGAAATAGATAATTAGATAATTTTAGCTTATACCGTCCGTTATACATTAAACGCGCACGCGAAAACGTATTCTGCACTTGCGCAGACGCATATGCGCAGTCGCAAATGTCTAGGGCGCACGAATAAAACGCCTATGCGCATGCGTCAATGCGGCGCATGCGCAGAAAGATTTTAGCTTTGAGGTCCGGATTATAGATCATTCCGGATTATGGGTGTCCGAATTAACGACTTTTGACTGTATTTCGTATTATAATAGGAAGAGAAATATTTGTTAATTTTAAGAACAAATGCATTTGTTTGATTTATGGTTCTACAGTTTATATTGGAAAACAAAACAAAAAGCAGTACAGAATGACATTTTACAACAGTTCGTAAAAAATAACATATTAACAGCAAATAATTAATTGTTGTTTGACTTCTGAATCAATATTAACAGCAATCGACGAAAATGTAAAATGAAAGACTTGAAAAGTACAATTGTTGCTCAACAATTAATATTTACCGACTCTACAAATAAAATTAAAGTTGCTATGATTACATCATTTAAAGTTGCACATATGCTTGCAATTTACAAAAAACCTCAGTACTCTTCTGTTATCAGGACTGGATTCAGAAATGTATGTATGGATGGATGGATTGATGTGTTAGTGTTTGCATGTTGAATGTATGTGTGTGTATACATATATATGCATGCACATGATTGTATGTGTGTGTGTATACATATATGTGTACATATGCATACATTTCTGAATTCGATCCTGATAACAGAACAGTGCCAAAACCCAGGACAGGATGGCGACATAATTAAAGAAGCAATGCTTGCTGCATTGGAGATTTTATTTCAAGAAGCTAAACATAAGAGTGAAATTGTGTCACTTCTAGAATAAAAGCTATGTCTCAAAATGTCAGGAGATAGATATTAAAAAATGCATTTTCTTAAGTTTATGATGTGATGAATTATCAGACAGATGCGATGTACACTGTGAAAAAAAGGGGGGACAGTTCTACATCTCCTGTTCTACTGGGCCGATTGACGAAATTCAACTTACGTTTTTCATGTCTCGAAAGCATGACTAAGGATATGTATTAGATTTATATATAGTTTTGTTCTAATCTAGATATTTTGACACAAATCGGACTTTTTGTGAAATGACATGCCAACTTTGTTTCATATTTTGATACTACGACTAAAATTATGCCAAAATGCGAAGTCTTGTAAAAATTGTACGAGTAGTTTTAAAAAAATTAGCTCTCAAAATTTTAGCTCCTCAATGTTAATTGGTTGGTTGTTTTATTGACTTTTAATGGCACAAAACCTTGAAGGTTATTATGCAGCAGACGAATGGTGAATAAAATCCAAAATGAACAAACGCACTGTATCAGATGAATTGTTGAAATGAACCTGTAATGCTGATGAAGGCATGGAGAAATGACTTTATAAAATGCTCTAGCAAAAGGTACAGCAGAATAAAAGGAAAAAACTTCAAATCATATGGTAAAAAGAGATGTCTTTTAAAAATGTTATGAGGTGTATGTGAGGGTTTCTTCCAATGAGATCTGATAAATTAACATTCATAGAGTTAAAATGATATTCACATTTTTGACTAAAAGCAGGACAACAGGTTAAAATGTGATTGACTGAAACAGGAACATTGCAAGTGCCATAAATAGGCTCATTATCTCTTTTCAAGAGATACTGATGTGTCAATCTGCAGTGACCAATTCGTAGGCGAGTCAGCAGTACACCCTCCTTTCAATTCCCTCTCGACTCCCAATACTCCAAATTGGGTTTTACCTGCCTTGATTTGTTAAGTGTCTGGCATTCCCAGAGCTCTTCCACCTGGACAAGATCTTTGTACTGATGTAATTCAGTATGTCTGTAAGAGGGACATTTTCAGAGGTAATATTAGCACACTGTGCTGCGACATCGGCGAGTTCATTGCCTTTGATGCCAGCATGTCCAAGCACCCAGCAGTACGTAATAGAATGCGTTTCCCAAACGAAGGTGTGCCTTTAAAATTTCTAAGACCAAAGGGTGGCTAGTATTTGTATTTATTGATTCAAGTGTACTCAGAGAGTCAGAGTAGATGATGAACTTTCTGCTATTCTGCTTAGAGAAACAAATTAAGGAATTCAAAATGGGAAACATTTCTGCAGAAAAGACAGATGCAGCCTTATGAAGTTTACTACTCTCGATTTCCTTATAACAAAAGCTGCCCCGGCATGATCATGATTCTTTGAGCCACCAGTAAAAATTGCTTTATAAGTATAATGACTGCTTTTATGCTCTAGGAAAATTTGTTGATATTGAGCATCATTGGTACTGATCTTCTTAAGTTCCCCAAAAATGTTAGTAGGTAAATATTCACTTCTTGCCAGGGGGCAATACCGAAAAAGTTAAAGGTTTTTCAATGCAGATCTTTTAGGTTGAATTCTTCAATCAGTGAGTGAATGCAAAGATCAAAAAGTGGGATTCATGAAGGATGTGCTTGGTAGATACACCAGTACTGATCAGATGTCATGAGTCGGACACGATGTTCGGCTTGTGGCATTACTTTATAATGAAGATCAATGGACAGCTGCTTGCATATGAATTCCAGAGATGGTTCAAAATAGATGACACATAAACTTTGGACTGGAGATGTTCTGAAAGCTCCACAGCAAATCCGTAGCGCTTAGTGGTGGACTGGATCTAATTTCAGTAGCACAGAAGGTCTTGCTGATCCATAGATAACACAGCCATAGTCAAGTTTGGAATTAAAGCTCTATAAATGTGGACCATAGAACAACGTTCTGCTCCTTATGAAGTATTGGCCAGGACTTTGAATGTGTTGAGAGCTTTTGCTTCTGACTCAACGCGGATCAAAGAGCCGTCACAAGATGCAGCTCTGAACCAGGATGTAGATTTCTTTTGCGATAGAAATGCACGCAGACAATCTTCTAGCTAGTAAATTTAAAACCATTATTGTTGACCACTTTATGATTTTGTTTAGAGCAATTTGTAGTTGTCTCTCAATGTATGTCATATCTTGACCGTGACAACAGATCAACATATAGGGAAACATGAACTGTGGGAGGAAATTCTTTTAAAATGGAATTAATTTTTAGGCTGAAAAGAGTAACACCGAGCACTGAACCTTGGGGTACACCTTCTTGTTGTACAAATACTTGAGAACCAATCTTAACTTGGAAAGTGCGGTCCTTCAGAAAGTTTTGAATGAAGATGGGTAAATTACCTCGCAACTCAGTGCTGTAAAGGTCATGAAGAGTTCCATGCCGCCAAGTTCTATCGTATGATTTTCCATGTCAAAAAAAGATTGAAACCACGTTATTTCTTTTCACAAATGTATTGCGTACTGCAGTTTCTAAAAATAGGGCATTGTCAAGTGAAGATCTTCCCTTACGGAAACCATTTTGGTAAGGCGATAGGCAATGATTAGTCTCCAGACAGTAGTTGAGACAGTTATTTATAATTTGTTCCATAATCTTGCAAAGGCAGTTAGTGCGCGCGATGGGGCAGTAATTTAAAAGATTTTTGGGATCCTTGCCGGGTTTGCAATAGGGATTACAAAGGCCCTGCACCAGACAGTTGGAAAATTTTTTTCTTTGCATATCTTATTATAAAGCGAGAAGGACCACTAGAGATTCATAGGGCATGCTTACCACTGTAAAAGTGGGTTTTTAATAATGAACTTCTTAAAATCAAAGTTTAGATCCAGGATAACAAACAACAAACTTCCGAATGACTTGAAGAATTTAGCCATAAAACTATATGTACCAAAGTATAATAAACTCACAGAAGATGTACAGTGTCAAGTTTCACCATTAAAATATGCTTTTCTTGTATTTAAGCCTCTGGCCGGCCCTAGTTTACGCCAAAAAACCACAAATTTTTCAAAACTAGCATGAGAAAGAATTATTTCTTGATTGTAATGTCAAAAAGCCCCTGGTACTTTATACCTGCATTTACGTACTTTTAATATATTGCCTTAATTTCTGAGACATATTTTACAATATAAGTATATACACATTCTTACTGGCATCACAAAAAAATATTCTGAGCCCCATATATATATATATATAACCTTGTGGGTCAGAGGGTTAGTTTGTATCTTATTGAATTTTTAATAATCAGTAACATAAAGAGTACATAATTATATTTTTCTTTAACATATTATACTACATATTTTTATAATTTATTTATAATATCTGTTTATGACTAGAATATTAAAAACGAAATATATAATTGTGGCTAACAAAAACTTTTAAACGCTAAATTGGCACAAGTCAAGTTAAAAGTTAGGCACTATTGTGCTGCACCAATAGAGGAAAACAGAACTAAAAAGGATTTAAATATTCACAAATATTTATAACAATATGCTAATTCTTTGGTAGACTTAAAAAATAAATTATTTCATGTTACATTTAATTAGGCACATTTAAAATAAGAAAATAAAAGAAATTTGGCAATGAAATAAACAGCATAAATATACATACATTATGAGACAGCCAAGTTTTTGGCACTTTAATGAAACAGTTCTTCTCGGTGGAATGCTGTAAAGTAGCTACTAGGACAGACATAGCTAAATAAATTTGTTACCGCTATTCCACAGACTGCTGTAAATAGAAAATACTAATTACTTTCTTTATCTATGTGTCTTAAAATAATACAATAAACTCTTCTATTTAAAATAATTCGTATTTAATGCTCTAACTCAATGTTCGCAAAATCGCAGCCCATGAAGCAATTTTACGCAGCCCATGCATTTTAATTATGCATTTGTTGCAAATACAGTGTCACAAAGATTTCAAATAAAAAATTAGTTGTTTGAAGTCCAAGTTTACGTTATTTTCATTGCGATTAAAAATTAACACAAATAATCCATTAGAAAATCAGTACTTTTCTGTTTCACCGGAGCAAACCTAGCCAAGCAGACTTTACTGATGACAACATACAGTATTGAAGTTAAATCTTAATTTGAAATACAAGTTTAAATGCAAGAATTATTTCAATTCGTACTAATAGCTTAAAGTTTTGTCCGACTTGGACAGAAATACATGAATGTATGCATATATATTTGGATGGATGTGTTCATATATGTATGTATGTATGTATGCACCTCTGAGTGTGTGTATGTACAAACACATATATACACATACCAGGGCTGTGGAGTCGGAATCAGGCAGATTTTGAGGTAAAAGGAGTCGGAGCTGGAGTTGCTAAAAACAGGTTGACTCCGACTCCAGTTTTCGTCAGACAGTCTGAATTTAAAATGAAATTAAAATGAATTGAAAAAAATAATGACAAACTGAGTTATCATTTTTATTTATGGACTGCATACAATAATAAATAGTTATTTTCTATTTTAATGACCTATTAAGAAATAAATATAAGGAAGGAGGATGGATGTGATATTTGCCAATAGTGATTAAACCAATTCATTTAGTTACAAATCTCACTGGTAAATTTAGGTAAGCAGCAATAGCAGCAAGAACTCCTACAATTGATGCCAGTCTTAGGAAGTGAGCAGGAAAAAGAGCAATTATTGATCAAGCAATAGAATCAAGAAATACATATTTGATATTAAAGAGATTTCTAGAATTAAGAACTTTTTTCAGGAGATGTAGATAACCCTAACGTTTCACTAACAAAAAGAGCAGAATTGGAAACTCTTCTTTATATACTGTATATAGCCACAAAAAAGCTGCAATCTGAAGAATTGATAAGAGGTGAGAATGGGATGCTTGTTCTTTCTGAAATGAAGGGTTTATTGCAGAAGGAATCATTTCTTCAATGATAAAAAGAGAAACTAGTTTGCTAGACAATGAGATCTTGCTGGGTTCAATATATGGAGATCCGAAACACCGAAATCTCTTTGATGAACAAATTAAAAAGGCAAAGAAAGTTATCTATGAACTTTCATTAAGAAGGAAATTATTCTCAGAATAATTGGAGAATTCGAATCAGGACAGTCAAACTGCAGACATTGCAATTGAGTCTCTATTATCCTTTTCCACTGATGAATTAGATTTTGAGAAATATTTTTGGATAATATTGAAAAGGTTAAGGCAAAGCAATGAAAATAAAAAACAAGAGCCTTTAGATATAAAAATGAAAAAATACAAACAAGATTTCTACACTGCCTTTAAAGAAGTAGAGAAATATGATTGCACTTGCAAGACACCTCTTTTAGAACTTATAAAAATCTATCCTGAAAAGTTAAAAAAACTAGTCCTTACAGTAACAGCTCTTCCTCCTACTCAAGTTAGTGTGGAAAGACTCTTCTCAGCTCTGAAGTTTATCAAATCGGATCTATGGCCCTCTAACAAAGTAAATTTTATCGAAGCTATACTTTTTTTTAGAAATAACCAATGCCATTTTTTCCATTTCATTATAAATGCTAATTAATATAAATAATTTGCTATGCCATCATTTTTTTTTCTGTAGCATCTGTTACTTCTTTTATATTAAAAACATAAGCTGTAACCCATGTGTATATGTTTACATATATATAAGGGAGTCGAGTCGGAGTCATTAAAATTCCAGGAGTCCGGAGTTTCCCGACGCCACAGCCCTGGCACATACACACACAAATGCATACATACATATATTTCTGAATTAGGTCCTGATAACTGAAGAGTTTATCTTAAATAACATAATTCATTCATTAGAATATGACCTGGATTATCATTTAAATTTTAGTTTTCCCAAGGATAGGATGTGCAAATTCCTCATTCTATGGATCTTCTAAGAGATTTCAAATTCCAGAACTCAAATCTTGGAACTTTTTTAGTCATTCAAATTTACTACATGAAAACTGGAACTGAAATTTATATTCATTCAGTATGCATTATGTTATATTTAAAACCATTTAAGACAGAAATGTGTTCTTCCACAACTAGTTTGAATATTTAATCAAAACTTTGAAAAAGTTGCTTTTAGTGCTAAGTTGTACACAAATCAATGAATCTGAAGCAGTATTTTCCTCCAGATGGATAACAGGACCTAGTAATACATGATTGTGGGAAATGTTTAGATTAGCAGGATGTTGTAGGAAATTGTTTCTCTGATATAGGCTTTAGAATCCTTTTGCAACCGTGCTTTATTTTTTTTATCACACAATCTCTCACTGTCTTTGTTTTCCAGACAAAAAGATCAAGTTGGTGGTACAGAAAAACTTGGAGGGGGAAAACAACAACTAACAATAAGATAACAAAAGTTTCACTTGCAGGAAGTTAGTTTCCTGGAAATTGTAAAATTCTAAACATGAGTCTTAAGCTTGTAAACTGGAGTGACCATATAAGTAAAACTGTTATTTCAGACCTGATACTATATATGATAACTTGAAATATTTAAATGGCATACTTTAAGTTAAGATTTCAAAAATTTAGAACTACATGCTGGGTGAGCTTATGAGGTTTAACTGCACTTAATAACAATTCTTCTTCAGTCATTTTCTTTCTGACAATTCCACATTTTATTCAAATATTAATTATAACATATTTTTTTAAGGATATATAAATCTATAGCTGATACAGCATAAATATATTGTTTTCCTGTCTTTCCAAAGCTCAAATTTTGATTTCATTTCACTGGAACTTTTTCTCATTTCTTCATCACAATATATTCCTTTCTTAGATATTGCTCTGGCACGAAATTACTTGCAGTTCTCTCATTTTTGTGATAGTAAATTAGTCTTATAGATGATAACATCAAAACACATTGCTTTTGAATCAATTCCCAGAAATTAAATTTGCTGTTCTTCAAAACGATATACATATTCATTGAAAACATCATTAAAACTACAGAAAAACCTTTCAACTGAGTTACGCCTTCTAGGTTTCTTAGCCAAAATCAGTATTTCTAAGTTGTACTTTATTACATCATATCCATTGAAGTTTTATTTTACAGCTTTATCCCTACAATAAGTTCAGTTTTGAAACAGTTTCTGAATTACTATGATGTATACAGTATGTCAGGTTTTTTTGCAGCAATCTAAATCATCTGAATTATTTTTATTGAATAATCTGTACTAGAAATATTTTTTAAATCGATAACTTCCTTTTTTAAAACTTGATTTATTAATTAATTTTGTTTCAAAAAGCCTAAAATTAGGGAGGGATTGAAACAACTTGAGAAGCAACTAATTAAAACCACTGCGATCTGTGGCATTATATGTATATATGCCACAGATTTCATGTTTGGTTTTAGTTTCACCTGTTGCACAAAAATAAAAATTAATTGCTTGCTTTGAATTAAAACGAAATTTAAACAGTTAACCATCATTTACAACATTAATGAAACTAAACATAATTTTTTCAAAAACTAATATGAATAAGTCAAAGGCAATAGGTACCTCCTATTTTGAAGTTACACAGCAGTTCAGCTCATTTCATAACACTAACTACCAACTAGATCTGAAAAATAAAAAAAATTACCGAGCAAATTTTAACAACTTGCGAAGGAGATGATTAAAATCGCTATGGATATACATATATATATATAATGCCACACATTCCCTTCAGTAGTTTCACTTTCAATTCTTGCATAAAAGTGTTATTTAATGCAGTTAATCATTATTTAAAAAATTAAATAACAGATTTAAGTCATAAATTAACAAAGATGAGATACATACATCTATTTAAATTATTTATGGAAGAAAAAATAAATTTCTGAAGAAAACAACTGAAGTTTCAATCGCCGACACAAAGTCTTAATACCCGTTTCATACTGGTCTATGAAAGAGTTGCCATTTAAATTATCATTTCAAAAACTTCTCAGTTATACATACAATATTCCAATGAAATACAATCAATTCGTCTCATCATCACATGATAAAAATTTTTTATGCAATTTTTTTTACAACTAGAGGACCAATAGAATTTAGAAGCTTTTCCAAAACCCCGCGAGAAAATAAGAACTACAAGTGCAGAAATAAAGCTTCTACGCCTAAAGGAGGGGGGAGGAATAAAAAGACTAAATTTCAAGAAATAAATAAAATAAAATAAAATAAAGTCTAAAATCGGAAGCAAAGAATATTGTAATAGCAGCGAATCTGATTAAATTCTTCAAAGCAGAGTTCTTGCAAAAAACCTTGCAGAAGTTCAAAAATATGTACATGTAGGTAAGAAAATGAAAATAAATTGACATGTCGATTTAAAATCATTACAGCCTCATTAATAATACTGTGAAGCAAAAACTAATATAGAAAAAATGGAATGCAGACAATCGAATAATTTTCTTAAGATTTTAATGAACAATTAAGCACAATAAAATTACAACAGAAATGACACGATAGCCAGCTGTTACAATAATGTTACGAATTTGGTATTTAAAAAGCTAATGTTAGTTCAATTATAAATTAAATGGTTTTATTTCTCGCGCAGTGCAGCGCGTGACGAATATTAAAAGAAAGCTAAGCCGGCAAATTGAAAATACAAGAGCGCGTGCATTAAATAAATAAATATCTCTTTTTGATTTCGAGAAAGTACTGGAAAATTCTAGCGCGTGATTTTAAAATCTTATAAAAGGAGGAAAACATCTCAGTTTTTAGTAGTTACTTAGTTTGTTTTTGTTTGAAACTTACTGTTGTTGATTGTAGCGAATTCGCGGATTAGCGTTCTTTAGCTGTTTTGAATTACGTTCTATTGGACATTTGAGTAGTTAAAATAAAACTACTGTGAGATATGTAATACTGCATGATAATTTGAGAAAATTTAAGCATTTTTTGTTGTGATAATAAAAATTTTTGTTCATTTTTCATCGGACTTGTGCATTTCATTTCATAACGAACCCGTACGCACGCAACAATTTTTGGTGTCAGAAGTGGGATTTGAAAGCCAATAACAAGAGCGATGGAAGAATAATTGAGACAGCTCATTAGTGCTTTTGCTGCATTCCAAGAAAATGGAAGCTGGCCAAGCATCATTTAAAGAAGAGATTGAAAGACTCTGTTAAAAGCAGAGATTAGATCCGTTAAAGAGAAATGAAATTGGGCCAGGAATCCGTTAAGGACGAAATGAAAGCCGTTCAAAGCTGGTCAAGGAAGAAATGAAAAGAGAATTACTGCATAATAGAAAAAAATTTGAAGCTATGGAAGGCAGAATTGACGCAGTTGAAAATAAGTTGGACATATTGAAAATAGTTTTCGGTGAAAGAAGAAATAGAAAAGAGTTTCTTCTGTAAAAGAACATATAGAAGGGAGATTTCTGCTGTGAGGAACGAATTGAAGGAAGAGTTGATGCCGTCCAACACCAAATCGAACAACAATTGATGAGAGAGTTTCTGCAGTTGCCAAAGAAATGGATACTTTAAAGAAAATTCGTAGCGTCGGCAGGGAGCAGGAGTGATGATTTTAAATTCTTACCAATGCCTCTCTCCACCTCTGAAGCTATCCACATATGATGGGGAAGACTCCTGGCAGGTGTATAGACACAATTTTCTATCGTGGCGATCGATGGATGGGATTCCCAAGCGTTTTGTCCAAGAAATAGACGGCCAAACGTGTAGAGCTTACGGGCAAGTGCTGTCTAAACCGGAGAGGAATTACTGTGTCTCCAGGAAAGAGTTGCTCGCCATAGTCAAAGCCGTAGAACATTTCCGTCATTATCTATACGG